TCGTTCAATTCAAAAGGATATACGAAAGGAAGCTTTTGTTCGATTATTAACATATTTTCCTTTATTTAATTATTTTATTTATTTATTCTATTTTTTATTCCAGATATTACAACTCTTAAGGATTTTAATAAGAAAATTACAGTCATGGGGGAAAGGAGATCAATGAAAAAATATAGATACCAGAGATTGGTGAGTAAACTTATATGGTTGTCGCACATTATACATGACATTGCTTACTCTGTCGGTATAGTTAGTCGACATATGAACAATCAAAATGAAGAAGATTTGAAGATTGTGTACATAATATTCAAATTTTCTAAGAAGACCCCTGACAGAGGTTTTTTGTTTAAGAAATTTGATAACAGGAATGTAGAGTTTTACTCTCATTATAGTTGGGCAGGAGAAATTACGGACAAAAGATCCACATATGGGTATTTTTCCTATGCCTGGGGAAATCTTGTCACATAGAAGAGCAAGAAACAAGTAGTGGTCTCAAGAAGCAATGCAAAATTTGAGTGTTATACACTTGCTTTGGAAATTTGTGAAGGTATGTGGATTCAAAGGATACTAAAAGAACTGGGATACTTTTGGAAATTTGTGAAATTATATGGATTCAAAGGATACTAAAAGAGCTGGGATACTCCATAGTTAATCTCATAAAGATGTTCCGTGACAGCCAAGCTTCCATTAGTATTGCAAAGTATCGTGTACATCATTGCAAGACAAAACACATTGAGATTGATGGAAAATTTATCTTTGAGAAGGTCAAATGAGGCTATTCACTTAATACACATTCTGAATCATCTGCAAGTTGTTTATATTTTCACGAAATCTCTACCTCTAGGCAGTTTCATGGATTTAAACAATCGTGTACATCATTGCAAGACCAAACACATTGAGATTGATGGAAATTTTATCTTTGAGAAGGTCAAATGAGGTTATTCACTTAATACACATTTTGAATCATCTGCAAGTTGTTTATATCTTCACAAAATCTCTACCTCTAGGCAGTTTCATGGATTTAAACACCAAGCTGAGTATCTTCAACATTTATGACCCAGCTTGAGAGAGAGTGTGAAATTATGTGTTTTCCATTTAGATTTATCCTCATTTATTTCTATATTATCATTTTGTAGTTCTTTCTTTTGTATTTGTTTTATTGTAAGTTATAATTGTAGGAATTCTATTTGCCATAGAGTTTACTCTCTATATAATGAGAGAAGTTGTCATTTAAAGATTAAAGAAAAAGAGAAATTTCACCCACGTTTTCCTTCACTCCCCAAATCAAGAGCTTGTATTCTCCCATAGTTTCTCCCTTCAGCAAAACACCCAGGTTTAGCTCCTCTAAATTCAGCGTAAATATGACAATGCAAAAGCCCTCAGAATATCATATCAAAGCCATGTATCAAGACGTGCGCTTGAGTTTCTTGATATCTTAAAATTCATATATGACAAGACATGGACGGTAGCAGACAGTTTTACCATTCTCTGCATGGTTGAAGTCGTAATAGGGCATGTAAGAGATGGCTGGGTACTATAACGTGTGTAAAATAGCAACTTTGCAGTAAAAACAAGTCATTATCTAGCTTTCATGATGGTTCAAGTACACAATACTAGAGTTTTAGGTTCAAGATACCATGAACATTCCTTAAGAAAACAATCTGTTCAATTTTCTCATTTCATGCACCAACCCCATGTCAGGTAGAAGATTGTGGTGCATACTAAGCAGCAAAATCACTGTGGTTTGGTGTTTAAAACTTTAATTGATTTGAAAATTTTATTCAGCAAAAGAACAGTCAAATGTGATTAGAAGCTGTAAGAAAAAAATGTCCCAAAGTATACTCCAAGAGGAAAAAAGAAATCCGAGCATGCTAAATTGTCACGTTTGCTACCTTTGCATATTTCACCACTCCTCGTGTGTCCACTGTTTCCAACAAAGAGCTAACATAAGAGCGGAAGTGGCACCTAGTAATGTCTTCTTGCAGAACCTATATAAAAAAATTTAAGCAAGAGTTGATCAGTTAAAATGTGTGAATAAATATAGATATGGGCATTATCATATTTCATGAGTTTACGAGACAAATCCAGTGATTAGCATGGCTTAACTCTATGTGTGGGCGTTGTGGCTCAGTCATCACAAATAAATAGTAATTGAAAAAGGTAAATATTTATAGAAATCTGTCATTAAAAGTATTAAATATCATAATTGTTGCATGAAGCTAAGAAGACAAATATTAGGAAATCTTGGAGAGAATGAACAAAGAGGCAAATCAAAAACCTATTATGAGCGCATGATTCTTTTCTCTCCAAGCAATCATAGGAGCACCGACATAATGTTGCCACTGAATTAGTCAGAATGATGATGGTAATATTTGGGGAATCAAAAGCGGTGGTCATATATGTCAAAACCAAAAATGGTAAAGGAGGGCAACGACATGATTAAAAATATCTCCCAACCGAATTAGCATGAAAGATAATGTCTCTAGGTGGCCTCAACACTAACAGCAATCATGAACAAGACAGAATGTAATGACATCAACGACACTGCTAAATGGAAGCAACAAGTGTCCCATGCCAACCTCAACAATGAGCTGTGTCACATTGTCAACTAGTAGCACTAGGGGTCAACAAAAATCAATAGCACATTAGCGACAAAGAGTTCCATCACAAAGTTAGTAGCATCATGCGTGAGCAACTAGTGGCAACATGTATTAAATGAATGGTTACATGTCAACATGCAGAGGCCAAGAACATTCTCCAAAGCACTGAAGATTATAAAAATTTCTCTCTAACAAATGAAATAGCAGCTATCCAATCATCATAAATTATATAACTTGAATCATATCGGTCTTACACCTGAATCATCCGCCCACCCAAAAAACAGTTGATGGCAGCAACTGTGGCCAACATCATTTCCATTTAACAATCTAAGCATACTAAGTTGTTGGTGTCAACATTATATTTCAATAAAGGTGATAGTTTGAAGTTTTGAAAAAAAATTAATAAAGAAAAAAAGAAGGATTGTCACCACACTACATATGCCCAATGGAAACCAGTGGTTAATATCCATGAGATTGTCAAGGAATTTTTCCACTCCCCCAAAAAGTGCATTAAAAGATGGCAAGCCCATGAAATACCGAGTCTAAAAGGCATAGCAATTCAAAGATGATCCACTTCCAAAAAGAATAAAAGCCAATATGGGCATACTAGCTATAATAGATGCCATTTTTGTGCTCCCGCTTGGCGGCCAATTGAGACTGTGGGGATTGGTCACTGCAAACAATAGTGACACCAATATTTCCATGCATATCTACCCCTCAAGAAGAAGATGGCCAAATTAGAATGGGTCGACCTTAGCCATCTCATGCCCATTTAGGTTCCAATTCAATTTGTTTGAGTGTTCGTAGACTTGATATGATGTTATGGGATTCTCCTAAGGCTAAATCATGTTGAACTAGTTTGAGCATCAATTTAATCAAGCTAAGAAAAACAAGAATCAAGTTTGGCCGTTCTAGCACCATAGTATATCCTTCTAGTCAGAACTTCATCAATTATAAATACTCCATGAACATCAATGCAGACATCCCATTAGACAAAGAATTGAATCAATTCTCGTCAAAATTACAAACATTTATTGATTTATTTTTTTTTAACTTTGATTTTGTATTCAAACAAAATTATATGTGATTCCTAATAATTCCATATGTAGGAATAATGAAACAAAGGTAAAATTTGAAGCATAGAAGAACAAAGGTAAGGGTTAATAAGAGCAGCCTTTATGTCCAAGTTGTAGGTTGAGCTAGCCGCGTAAAATTTGAAGCATACCTCAATCAACAATTTGAGTAGATTATAGTGGGCCAAAATAACTAAAAAATAAGCATAGAAGAACAAAGGTAAGGGTTAATAAGAGAAGCCTTTATGTCCAAGTTGTAGGTTGAGCTAGCCGCTCACCATTGGAATTATCAAAATAACCCCGACAGGCATTCCCCATCTGAGCAAAAAGAGGAGAATTTAAACTCCCAACCCCTCCCCCCTAGGAAGGCCAATAAGTTTGTCTTCTTTTCAATTTGACTCATCTCACCTTCTCCGCTAACTTTGACACAAATAGATCCAATTGATATTGCGGCTTTAGCCAAATGAATATTACTAACGATGCAAAATTTTCAAATAAATACAACAAGAATTGTGGTTTGTATGCTAGAAGGTTTGTGGAGGTGCAATGTGTTGGCAAATAGCGCAAAAAGAATAGTACTTCATAGTAAGAATTAAAATAGGAGGAGGTAGTTCTTCAAATCCTTTGACAAAGATCTTAAAAAGATGCTCTTGTAGTACATGTTTGGATGAAATTTAAGAGATTTTTTTTTTTAAAGTCTTCTCTTCGCTATTTCCCTCGAGGATTTTGCATGCACCTTCCCTTTTCATTCATAGCTACTTATTATTAAGTAATTCATTGATCACTAGCATGACTACTTTATACGTTAAAACATAAAATAACAATGAGCATTTTGGCCATTTTAAAATTTCTTAATAAATAGCGCATAGGTTGAAATAAGAACGTGAGCTCCTCGTGCCTTCATAAATTTTAAATTGAATAAAATGGTAAGGAATTCATTTTAGTAGAGTACCAATCATGAAATCTTAAAAGTAAGGGCCCTTTATAGCAAGCTTATATTGGCATTTCGACTAAAATAAATCTTCAAAAGAAGCAAAGACATGAATGCACAAATGCACAAATGCGGTTTCTTTAAAGGCCTTGTGCTAGACCCATATGTAATCAACTTGACCCAAGTTTATCACATCCAAGCACAGCATGAAAAGCTATTCAGTGAGCGGATTAAGTAGCAGGAAGGTTTAAAAAGCATCCAGTAGCACCTATCATATAAGGCAGCAAATCTTTGGCTAGCATGGCTAGGAGACAAGAAGATGACCAGAAAAGAGAGACCATAAGAAAAACTTCCAGCCCATTGGAAACGAACTTGTCAATTTCAAAGAGAGGTAAGCAAAAGAAAAAGGCTACAAAGGACTGGAAGATGAGGAAGAGAGAAAAGAACGTGGGAAATTAAAAAGAGGATAAAGTTGACAAAAAAAATTTAAAACGTTGCAGAAAACTCAAAAAAAAATTAAAGTCGCATCACTTTCTATTTATAATTTTTTTATAGTGATTGTGGCTAGAATGATTAAGTGCAAAAAAATCTTAAAAAAAAAATCAAACAGCCAAGAGAGGTTGACTTACCCTTTCTCCGGTCAAAAGTAGTTTCAATAAACTACTTTTTGGCAGGTGATTTCTCATTTATAAATATTAATTTTTTCAGTCACAAAAATACTTAGTTAATTAATTACATAATATTCTGATCAAATTTTATGATGAATCATGCCCTGTGAAAAGTTTTCATCGTGTTGGCATTATGTGTGTAAAGTTCTTGCATCTTTGAAGCATTATTTCATATGTTTCTTTTTCATATCAATGATGACGGAAGATTTATCTTGACCTAATTTCACTTCTACCCATGTTAGCTTAAACTTAACTCTTTCTTACCTAATACATGTTCAAACTCGGCAAACAAAATAAACGTTACCGTGAGTTGATCCGAGCACCCAAACCTTTCCTTCACGATCAAAGCCATATGTGGATCCTGGAATAATAGAACGAAGGGTGAAATTGATTTATTGGGTAGAATAACCATTCTAAACTAAAATATGAACACCAAATCCAACATAATTAACATGGAAAGCTATACAATTGTGATTTAATCAAATAAAAAATGAATATTTCGAGAATTTGTAACATAAATCGTGTCCAATATCTGCAAACAACATTTCTACGGGTACGACGAAGTTTAACAAAATAGAAGAAGAAGAAGAAGCATAGACCTTCTCGACTGCAACAACAGTGGCGCCAGCATTAATCAAGACGTTCGTCAGAGATCCAGTTCCAGGCCCTATCTCCAGAACCACATCTCCTTCTGCAACTCCTGCTACGCCGGAGAGCTGTTCATTAATGCTGGAATTTAACATATAATGCTGAAATTCCAGCAGAGAGAAAAACAACCGGAATTAGAAATTCATCCTGATTTCTATAGTTTCTTTCAATAACAATAGACATGGAGGAGGGGGTTTCGCGCCTGTCCCAGAGATTTTCTAGGGACAATACGACTTCTTGAATTGAGGGCTTTGAGGGTTGAATGGTAGTCATCTTCGCCTCTTTGCCCGCTCTTCAAAGCCTGAATGATGAGACAAATGCGTCGACGACGCCATTGATGCGCATTCGAGCGCTGCGGTGGAGTACTGAGAGGGAGGAAGAGCGCAACGGGGCTCATCATCGTGAGACACAGCAGCGCTGTGCAGCCATGGCCAAGGGCAGCTTCGGAGCAAGTGGTATTTATCTCAATTAGTAAATTTGATTAAATTCAAAAAATAGTTGATAAATTATTCTGCTGCTTACTTTATTATTTATGAACTTATATGAATAATGCATCTTATTTTATTTATTTTACTTAAATGGGCGTAAATTAAACTAATTAAACCATAGTCAATTTAATACTATATCTCAACTATTGCGTAATTAATTATTTATGGAATTTATTATATAATAATTTATTTTTTTTATATTTAAATAGAAAATTTAAAGTAATATAAATTAAGAAAAAAATTAATTAATTAATGTTATATATATATATATATATATGCTAAATCAAGTAAACCCAATTTTGATTATAAATAAGCTAAATCAAGTTAATTTAAATTTTTCATAAAATTTGAGGGGAAATTTAATTTCATATACAAGGAGACAGCACATGGTGAGCTTAAAAAGGAGTCTGGTCGCAAAGGTTGGTGTGGCAATATAAGTGAGAATCAATTGGTAAATTAATAAGCAAATATAATATTTTTAATCATTATTTATTATTGCATATTTAAATATTTATTTGTTATGTAATTAGCATCACCAAGACCCCTTTTAGGGCGGCATTTTAGCCACGGTGCGGCTCCACATCGCTGCTAGCGGCATTTGGTAAATGCGGTGTGGAAGCGACTTTTAATAATTTATATGAAATGCGGGCCGTGAGTTTGACCCTGCAACCTGTGTTTCTTCGTGATTTTTTACCCTGCTACCCCTTCATTTCGCACACCGCTCTCTCGACCCTGCTACCCATTTGCCCCCTCTCTCTTGATTGTTGCCATAACTTTCTTCTCTCGATCCCCTTAGATTTGTGGATCCGGTGGGTAGGGCTTGTTTCGATTTGGATATATTGGTTCTGGTGGTTGTTGCGGTGAGTTCTCATTCTTCCTCTTCCTCTCTCTCTCTCTCTCTCTCTCTCTCTCTCTCTCTCTCTCTCTCTCTCCTCTCTGTTTTTCGGCTTGGTTTTCATCCTTGCCTTTTCGCCCTCCATGCAGCGGTCCCTATCTCTCTCCCCCCTCTGTTATGGTATTCTTTATCTTATTTATGTGGGCATTTTGATTTTGCAAATATTTATGTGTGATGGTTTTCCTTGTTTCTCTATGATCTTATCATTGGATGGTTTTTTGTTGATGTTGGATTTTAGGATTTGTTTTGTTTCTCTATATTATAATTAGTTGATGATTTGGGTTCTTTATGTTACATCCGTTTGATGGTTTTTTTTCTCCTCTATTCGGTTCATGGATTTGGTTTTTCTTTGCTCTATTCGGTTGATGATCGAAATTTGGTAGTGGTGAGGATTGCATGTGAAATTTGGAGGTGGTGGATGGTTGTGTGGTGTGGTGGTAATTGGAAATGCAAATTGGAGAGTTGTTTGGTGATAATTAGAAATGCAGATTGGTAATTGGATGGTTGTATGGTTTGGTGTGGTGGTAGTTTTTCTTTGTTCTATTCAATTGGTGCTTGAAACTTGGTTGAGATGTTAATTGAAGATGCGGATGGAATGTGAAGGTGGTGGTGGAAGGAGAGTTGTGTGGTGTGGATGTGCGGATTTAGTAGTGTGTGGATGTGTTGGCGTGGTGTGGAGGTGGTGTTGTAGGAGAGTTGTGCGGTGTGGAGGTGGTGGTGTAGTGTGGAGGTATGATGAGAAGGTGGGTGTGTGTGGTGTGGAGGCAGTAGTGTGGTTTGTGGATTTGTTAGTGTTTGGTGTAGAGGTGGTGATATGGTGTGTGGATGTGTTAGTGTGGTTTTGTTGGTGTCTTGATGTGCTTGTGTGTGGAGATGTTGGTGTTATTATTATGGTATTTCAAGTTTTCTTTAATATGGGCTATTGTGGCTTTCCTACTTATGTTAATTACTTTTTCTCATGCTAGTAATATAATGGTTAAGGCAAAAGAGGCTTGTTCATTTGCAATGTGGGATAAATAGACAAAATTAATATTTTGTGGTCTTCGCTTCAAGGAGGTCGATTTGGGAAATATGCCAATAACATATTTCAACAAGGAAGTGTGACAAAATATTATTAAAAAATTCAATGAAAGTGTAGACAGAGAGTACAATAGATACAATTAAAAAATGAGTGGGATCAACTTAAGAAGGATTGGAAAATCTGGAAGGAATTGAAATGAGAATCAACTGGGTTGGGGTGGAATTTGGTAAAGCGAACGATTGATGCTTCCGAGGATTGTTGGGCAAAGAGACTTGAGGGTTAGTATTTATGAAATGTCCCCTATTTTGGTCAATTTGTAATTTATTTTAAAATTGAACTGCATTTTATATGAATTTGTAGGTGGTCTCTGCTGTGAAAAAAATTAAATGCAGTGGAATTGATCCTGAGTTGGATGAGAAGTTAGATGTATGTTTGGGGGTGTCTTGGCATTGAGCAACAATGTATGTGCCACCAAGGAGAAAGGTTTTGTTATCATCCAAAAAAATTGTGAGTCGACCAATCGGGTGATTCCAGTGAAGGCCCCAACCCGGACCTCCATGAACTTGAGTCAACAACCTTTCTAAGCGTCCGCGGGATGAAAATAAAAAAAAATGGGGGTTGCTTTCCTTATAAGTTAGATATCACATCTGGTGACTTCATGCAGCAATGAAACCCGCACATCTCAAGCAACTTCTGTCCAACAAATTTTGTAAATTCTGAATGCAACAACAAAATTTTTTTAGAACTTGTCGTTATATTTGTTTTCAATGAAGTTGTTTAAAGATTCAACCCGGAGAGATTTTTTCATTGGGATGTTCGATGATCATAAGGTGTACCTACGATATTTTTTTTAGCGCATGAACATTTGAAAGATTTTTTTTATTTACAATCGCATGAGACATTTATATTTGTTTATTATTTTTCCTTTTGCTTTAAATATTTAAACTTCTTGGGACATGGCTTATATGTTTATTCAATGATGCTTACATGTTAAATGTTTTGTTCGTAACCTTTTATGAATATAGTTAATTTATTGATGCTTATGTGTTAGCCACTCTGATACTGAAATAAATGGATGCAACCGATGAATGGTACAAAAGAAGAGTTGTAGTAGTCGTATGTTTGATGTACGAATAATATAACTCATACATAAAGTGCTCCCCTTGCATGACATCCTCATATGCTGGTGACAAGTGTGTTGGGAAGTTGTTTACGGGCCACCTAACAAGATTTAACAATATATTTCGAATGACACAGACGGTATTCACTAATTTGTTAGAGAAACTACACAGAAATTATGGACTTCATGACTCATCCAGGACGATTTCGCGAGAGGTGTTGGCAATAACCCTATACATATTATTGCATAATGCATTAATGCGATGAGCAATGAAGCAATTTCAGGAGTCCTCCGAAGCAATTTGCAGATACTTCTCAGTAACACGCTTGTAAGTTTTCTTCATAAGTCATAAAACCAACAGATTCTAGGTTTGAACGGACCCCCACAGAGATTTCACGCGATGCACAGTACATGTCATACTTATTGGGTAATTTCTCCAATTTATTACATTCAATTTTCAAATAAATATCTCAACCATGTAACCTTTCATTATATCTCTAGAATTATATTGGAACAATCGATAAACACACACGTTTATGCACGTGTTTGAAATAATGAGAAGATAGAATTCATCAGTCATTGTGGTTCCCTAATATAGAATGTCACTTTAACATGTGTTTCACCTTTGTTATGGTCGGTTGGGAGACAATGCACATGAAAGTAAATTTTTAAAAGCTACAATATGGAATAATAAATACAACTTCCCACATTTACCTACAGGTATGCCTGAGACAGAACAACTGTCCTAATTCATTTTTTTTCCATAATACTAATCATGTAATCACATAACGTAAATATTATTTGGCTAATGATAGATATCCATTGCAGCAAGGGTATCTCAAGCCTTATCTTGATACTATATATCATGTATCTGACTTTGAGTAAGCCAGCAATGTCACGTGGGGAATAAAAGAAATGTTCAATAAAAGACATTCTTCCTCGTGTGGTTTCATTGAGCGGACTTCTGGTGTTTTGAAGAAGAAATAGGTCATACTATGTGATATGTCATCTTATCTATTTCTCAAACATGTGCAGATTGTGATTCTCACAATGACTCTCCATAATTATATTTGACGACATCCTTCCCGCAACGACATCGACTTCCGTAGAGTGGACGAGGATCATGAGAATGTCACTGCAGAGTCCTGTATTAAAGACGGGGAAGTTGCAAGTGAGATGATAGAGTTGAGGGAACGAATTTCAGATGCGATAGTAAGAGAGTGGTTTGAGTATTCATTATATTATTAATCGTAATGGTTGTTGAAGAGATTCACTGTTAATTATATTTGTATTTAATATAGTTAATGTTTATTTTTTTCTTTTTTTATTTGATATTGATTGTTTGGGTTTTTTATGCTGTTTGTAATTGTTTTTTTTTTCTTTTGCATTTCTTTTCTTTTTTTGATGGAGATGTTTGACATTATGAGTTCTTCTGAATGGTCTGTTAATCGTTGTTGGTTGAGGTCACATATGAAATCTTAATGAAGGCAACCAAATTACTCTTTTTTTTGGTGTTGCAGTTTTTTAGATTATTCTGGATGGACTTTTTTGTTGCTGGCATATGTGACACACACGAACTTGATATTACATGGGTTAAAAACAACCAATAAACTTTTTTTATAATGTTTGATGTCTTCTTGTAGTGACATATTCGTTAGTTGATATACTGAGTTATATAAACCTCACACTTGTATAAAACTATAATTAATTACTTATTTTATCAATTTATACTTGTGTCATGTTTAATGAGATATCTTCTAAAGTATTCAGGGAATATAAGCTAGAGTATTTTCAGTACCTCGAGAGCATTGTAGTGCTACTGTGTACTTTAAATTTTCTTCACGTCAGCCACATAACTATGAGAGATAGTTCGACAGGTGCCCGTGGAGAATAACGGAGAACTGTGACTTTTTTCAGTAGATAGATAAGCTGAAAGATTCCACCAAAGAGAGTGATCAGACATGAAGAGTGTCCCTGAAGGACAACTTAGCTCGTGACATAAACCTCTGCATTTTAAAAATGATATTATTATATTATTAAATGTTATTTTAACAATTTTTTTTATTAATTCTTATAATCATGATAATCATTGTTAAGTGTGTTGTATATTTTTTTGTCATGTTTTGTAGTGAATTATTATTTCTAAAGTATAAAATATATTTGCATGATAGCTCAATTGCAAATAGAATTACAATATAGAGATAGAATAATCATTTGTCCAAAAACAGCTGCAGCACGGTTGTTTTGAAACTGCAAAAAATAAACTGACAACTAGTTTATCCGAAATTGTTTCTACGTAGCAACTTTTCGTGGTACCTGCTACGCAACAACTTATTATTAAGCTACAGCTACCCCAAACTGGCCCTAATTTACATTTAAAATTCATTTCATATTATTTGATAAGTATGCATTTTATAGAAAAATAAGCTCGAGTATAAATCATTAGTTTTACAAATCTCATTATAGCCATGTTTGTGTAAAATAAATGATTTGCTTGTAGATATATTTAGATAAACAAAAATGACATGTAAAAATGGTTATAAGCAGAGTTATGAAATAAATGTCATAATTGTTGTATTGATAAACTAATATTGATAACCAACGTAAAGAAGACAATTTTAGCTAGACGACCTTGAATAGAGAAATAATTGAATTTCTATTTTTAATAGTAAGATTGGAGCAAATCCTTATGTATCACTTAGGGCTGGCAAAACGGCTCGTTGTTCGCGAACAGCTCGTGTTCGATTCGCTAAGAAGCTCGTGTTCGGCTCATTAATTTCGTTCGA